TAAAAAGTTATTTCTCCGTTTTTCGAAGTTAGCCTCCGAAATCGAGATATGGTGGACATTCGAAGTTCTAAATTGGACCTTTGGTAAAAAATTGGCAATTATTGTATGTGAATTATTAAAACACTAAAAATATCGGCGTAGTCCGCTTTTTGCTCTTATTTAAACGGTATATAACTTTTTTTGTGCAAACGTATATTACATGTGCAATAATAGTCAGATCTTCGAAAAATTAGAAACCTTATACATATATCAAACCATTTTGAACTGATTTAAAAAAAAAATGGTATCGGTTTAAAGGGTATTAAACCCTCTTTAATCTGATATCTGTATACTTCGTATATAAAAATTTTAGAAAAAAACACTTAAAAAAGGAAAAATACCTTTTTTTAATATTTTAAATACTAAAATCACTAATTACTAATACAATTGAATACTTTATTTAAATAAAACAGAAAATTTCCTTGAATTTTATATATACAGTGAAACTAATAAAAACTGGGATGCGACATTTAAGCAGGTTTTAACTACTTTAGTTTATTCAATGCTTATTATTCTTTATATTTATTTATTATTCTTTATAAAAGAATAGCTGATTACTTAACAAACACGACGTAAATCCAATCAGACTTTGCGCAAAAATAATGAAAATTCTGCAAAGTTCGAGCAAAATTTTGATTTGGCAATGTTTTTTTTTTTGTTGAGGTCTTCCGCATTTTTTCCTAAAAAAAACATTTCGATGGATAAAATTTATATGGATAAAATGCGGAACACTTCCAAACAAAATTTTCCAAAAATCAACGATAAGTCCTTCTTCTTCTTATTTGGCACTACAACTATTTGTCGGTTTGGGCCGAGACCAAAAAACATCTCCAATCGCTTCTTTCCTGTGCGAATTTGCGCCAGTTGGTTATACCGACAGGTTCTTCTGTACCTGGTCCTTCCATTGTGTTCGTGCGCGCCCTTGCTTTCATTGTCCACCCATGGGTGCGAGAGTCCAAGGATCTTTTCACCGGAACATCGTCATCGATGCGTACCACATATCCAAGCCAGCGGAATCGTTGTATTTTTGTGCGCTTAGCTAAATCGATGTCGTTAAAAAGCTCGCACAGTTCGTTCTTCCATCTTCTTCGGTACTCCTCGCCCACGCGAACGGGGCCATATATATTGCGAAGAATAGTTCTCTCGAAAACCCCCAAAGCCTGCTTATCTTTGTTCAACATCGTCCAAGTTTCTGTGCCATAGTATAAAAGGACAGCCATTATGACAGATTTGTTTAGCGTGATTTTCGTTCGTCGAAAGAGGGCTCTGCTTTTCAATTGCTTACCGAACCCAAAGTAGCACCTGTTGGCAAGAGTTATTTTTCGCTTGACTGGAGGTAGACAAAGTCCTTCACTACTTCAAAGTTATAGCTGTCAACAGTGACGTGTGTCCCGAAACGCGTGGACTATTTATATGTTGCCAGGAGGTACTTTGTCTTGCCCTCGTTCACCTATAGACCAACCTCTTTAGCTTTTTTTATTAAACTGAAAAATGCTGCGGTTATGTCCTTTTGTTTCAGACCTACGATCATCTGCATACGCCAGCAGCATCGTTCTTTTACTCTATATGGTGCCGCTGCGATTCAGATTAGCAGCTCTTATTACGGTTTCCAGCATCAGATTTAAAAAAGTCGCACGAGAGTGACTCACCTTGTCTAAAACCTCGCTTGGTCTCAAATAGCGTGGAGAGGTCCTTCCCAACTTGGACGGATCTGAAGGTTGTGCTCAACGTCATTCTACATAGCCGTATTAGTTTTGCGGGGATCACAAATTTGGGCATGATGTCGTACAGGCAGCTCCTCTTCGTGCTATCAAAGCAGCTTTAAAATCGAAATAAGATGGTGTGTATCGATTTGCATATCAAGTGTCTTCTCCAGGATTTGACGTGCTGTGAAAACTGGTGGACTTACCAGGTCGGGCTGATTATCGTGCGTCTAACGCTGAAGATTATTATCGAAAGGAAATCTTTATACCGCTATTGGATAATATTTTTCTCGATCTCCGAGAAAGATTGAAGAAGAGACACACAAGTTCCTATGTGGATGTCGTTTAAATAAGAGCAAATGCGGACTATGTCTATATTTTTGGATTCGAACTTCAAAGGTCCATATCTCGATTTCGGAGGCTAACTTAGAAAAACGGGGAAATAACTTTTTTAATTATGACTTAGTCTGTTAAAAAAAAAAATGGTTTGGTCCAATACCCAGCCAAGTGCTGTACAGTGTAATAGATTAGCGCTTGCACAATATGTTAGTGTTTGGGCGAGCTTCTCCTCCGATTTGTGGCGAGCTTAAAATCGTTTACCTGAGAAAACCGAGGAAACGCTTTTCTATATTACAATCCAGACTTTCAGAAAAAACCTGATGTCATCAATTCCCCAGCTGACTGCCGAACAATGGTATGGTTGAATAAAACGTAACAGAATTCTGCGCGGTAGCCTTCGAATTGGCTCAAATTTTGCTTTCAGCTTAATTTCATGATACTTTAAACTGACAGAAATGGGGTTAAAAATTAAAAAAAAAATGTTATGGCGTTATGGGTTCCATAGGAAACTGAGCCTCAGAGCACAAAATGTTTTCTTTATAAAACTAACAAATATGTGGATAAGACATGTGTACAAATCTTAAACCAACCAAAAAGTAAAAAATTAAAGCTTTAAATGCATTTTTATTGAATTTTTTTAAGTTTTAAAATTGTATTATATATTAAATTGTGTGAGTGCTTTATTTATATTATGAGTAATAATTAAGCAGTATTGGCCTTGTCCCACCCGTGGCAAAAAAGGTAAAAGTTGTTATATTTAATTACGGAAGTTGAAGTTGTGTTTCGGGTTTGTTACATAATGTTAGAACTGCATTGCCAATGTTTACCACAACTGCATTTTCGTTTCACCATAGTTAGATAAGAATAATTCAACAGTCAAGACTGTCCCACCCGTGACGGCTATGGATGGTACAGTTTCCAGAGGGAGGTTTACAGGGCTGATAAGCTTTATTTGTTTGTTGGGGTGGACGCAGGGGAGAAGGGCGGAAGCGCGGACTCGTCCATTACCTACATATGTATATACCCTTGTGGTCAGCTGATTAAGTTAAGTGACACTTTGACCAGTTTGGGTTTTTTCTTTTGTTTCTTTAATGTTGATAGTTTTTTTTTTATAAAAGTCTAGCACATTCCATAACCAGAACCACATAAATCCACATTTCAAACTTCGTACAAAAATTATAAAAATTCAACAAACTTTAACAATTACATACACCCAAAATTTTAAACTTTTTGTTCAGAATTTTTAGAAAAGTTCTAGGTCTGCAGTTTTATAGCGCATTAAATTTAAGTAGGAAAAAGTGAAAATTTCAAGACGCTAGGAGATCGCGTTGATTTTTAATAATTTTTTGCGCTGGGGGTGCTGGGCTTTTTCTTCTATACAAAAGGCCCTATACATGAGTGAATTGAACCCCTACTTGGCCTCTTATATTTTTTAATAACTAATCTTTAATATGGACCAGACTAAAAGCTCCTTTTCATATACAAATTCGTACGTGTCCCACCCGTGACAAATGTTTTCCCACCCGTGACAGAGGAATTTCGGATTTTTTTTATAATAGAGCCATCCTTTTTGTTGTAGTTTTTGCTTTGTTTACATTCGTGGTTCTTTGTCTTATTATACTACATCAAGTTCACGCAGAAAAGTGAAGTCCCACCCGTAACAGAAGAAATAACTCAGATTTTTTCCATATAAAAGTGAGCTGGCATTTTTTCGTATTTTGTAGTAACTCATATAATAGTCAATTAGGTGTAGCTTTATCAAAATGTAGAATTGTTGAGTACTTTATTCTTAAATTTAAACAAAAAAGAAAAATTTTATTCTGTTCAAATGTCCCACCCGTGACGGAATCGCCCTTTTGTTGTCTCGCGATTTCTCGCCTAATTATTTTGGTGAAAATCAAGAATCATTTTTATTACGCTGGTCAACAAAATAGCACTTTTGGGCTGATGAATGAATTATGAGGGACTATGTTTTGACGTTTTGTTTTGTTGACGTCGCTGATTCTAAATATACCCTCACTTGTTTTCTAACAGCTCTTGTTTACGAGTTATGGCTTTCGCCTTCGTACGATGGAGGAACGCTATTAAGACCTCTGAAACGCACACATGATGGCTGACTATTGTTGGAGCATTCAGAATAGCTCTCTGGCAAGAACTTCTGCAAGGAAGTCTTATAAAAGAAAGTTTTTTTTTAAACTTAAGATCTTAATAAAATTAGATTAACTACACTGGCACAGGGAGTTTTTTACAATATATGCACAATTTTTATTTACATTTTTTTCCGCCAATTTTTTATAAAATTATGATTCGTACTACAGCAAAAAACATGCATGCAATTTTTAAACTTTTTAATCAGATTTTTAAGAATTATTTAGAGTATGCAATTTTGTGGCCCGACAAATTTTATTACAAAATGTACAAATTTTAAGTACCGTTCATCGTTGCTAATTTTTTTCGCGCAGTTTCTCACTTACAAAAAAAAATCAAAAATATTTTGTATGGAAAAAATTCGTAACACCATGTGCCATATTTTCTAAACTTGAGCCGATACAGAAATTTTAATTTTGAAATCGTTATTAAAAATTAGGCTAGTATCATGTAACATAACCTAATCATCAGAATTGCTGTTGTGCGGTGTTACTAACTGACTTCAAAATAAATTTTTTTCATTATAAAGGTGACACCTATGTATACTAATTAGGTTTTATAACGATCAATGGAACAGGAAGAAACTAACGGTTATCCTTAATTTGTATGTCATCATTGAAGTCGGTTGCTGTTTTTTTAATAACTTTTTCCCCATTTTTTATTTTAGTATAAATGTGAGAAAAAACGTATTTAGGTATAAGCATAGATATTTATGTATGTATGTACATATATAGAAAAATCTGGAGATACTTTATATCCAAGTATATCTACCTTTATTCTTCAGTTTTTAAGGGACGTCCATTTTATTTAAATCCATTCGACCAAAAGGAACTTTTCACATAGATTATATAAATACGGATTTCGGGAAATCTTTAGCTATTTGTACAACGATTAAGGGGAAGGGGGCGGAGGGGGAGGAGGTGTGGCTTCCCAAACCTCCCTAAACGAAAGAGGATGGACGCCGCTTTATGAAAAGCCACCCCTCAAGACCCCTTGGGAGCTGTTTGAAAACAGCGGAAATTTGGATTTTTTCCAAAACGATTATAGCCTTCACTACTCCTTTCTCTGTTGCCTAAGAAGAGGGGCTGAACACCTTTTGCAGAGAGCACCTTTCTGCGTAGGCGGCCTTTGGCCGCACTAAGAGATTATAACCCTCACTAAGTAGAATTCTCCTTTCTGTGTTGCCGAAGAAAAGGGGCTGAACAGCTTTTGCAGAAAACAACTTCCTACGTAGGCGGCCTTCGGCCGTACTTAGGGATTATAACCCTCACTAAGTAGAATTCTCCTTTCTGTTTTGCTAAAGAAGAGGGGCTGAACACCTTTTACAGAGATATTTCCTGGATATTTTTTTTTTTGACAGCTCAGCTCGGAAACTTGCAAAAAATACCATATTTCCAACCGACGTTATTAATAATTAAGTGCACAGATATAGTAAATTTTATTTTTGTAATAAAGCGTGAACTGTTGTCTATAAGTGTGTGTAAAAGGTTTTTGAATCGATTGCCGCGTTTGGGCACAGCAACCCAAAATCGTTGTACAAATTCATAAAGAGTACCTCGGATTTCTATTCGTATATAAATATGTACATACATGCATACTACAAACTTGTATGTACATAAGTAAATAAAATTATTCATAAGCTTCATAAAAGCATGTCCGTGGAGCTTTTTCGATTCACTTATTAAAACACTTGTTGCATCTGCATCGAAATGCCGTCGCCGAATCGCACATAAGACGCGCGCGTGTTGTTGTAATTTGTTGTGAATGGTTTTGCTTCCGCAAAAGCACAAATACTTTTAATACAAATTCAGTTTTCTTAAATCACCATCGAAATAAAGCAAAACTTGACTATAATACATTTTTATTCAATTTTTTTCTCTTTCATTTGCAATTACGCGCGCTAAATTATATATGTATATGTTTGTTTTTTTTTCTGTTTATTTGCACAAACGCGCGATCGTCTCGTGCGCCGATCAAACAAACGCACCGGCAGACAATCAATCGAACAATAAAATGAGCGCTCCAGCTGGCCGGACACCTTCTTCCCATTGCGACGAAATCAAAGCTTAGCTGCACATCGTTGTTGGAAAATGCCACAAGCAACGAGGATAACCCTCGTATTCGCGGCTTTGGTTGCTCAGCGTCATTAGGAAAAGACTAACTCAAAACAATAGCAAATACAATTTAAATCCACACTACCAAGAAAAGAATGCATAAATGCAAAAAATATCTCTGAACGGGAGACATACTCGCATACACATACTACATGCATAAATGCATACAATAATACATACATTCATATGCACTTTGGGAGAATTATCGGCTGTCATCTACTACAACTTATACACACACACACACGCACACAACTGTAAATAATGCAGTTGTGCATATTTAAATTTGGAGCTGTGAGCAATAAGTTCCACAACTTCGATATTTCGCAAAATGCTTTTCAATATTTTTTGCATGTGTGCATATATGCGTGTATGAATGTACGTACGTAAGTACATATGTATGTGCGAATTGAGTGGAATATTTCTTCACTCTGAGAAACTTGTGGTCTCTCAAAACTTTATCAGCTCTTTGTAGTCAAAAGCATTCTTATGAGCAGCGTTGCCATTTTAGCCGTTTTCCGGCTAGATTTAGCCGGTTTTGATAGCAACTAGCCGGAGAAAATTCTATCTAGCCGGCAGCCGATTTGTTAGCCGGTTTGTAAAAAAAAGTTAGCCGTTTTTAGCCGATTTTACTATTTGCCTAATTTTCAGGTGCAAAAAGTAAACAAGTTGTTCGAAAGCAATAATGCAGACCCAATGAAGATTTTTAATGAACTCAATGTTTTACTTTCGCATCTATGCTCCCTAGTGGTTATTAGCGCGGACACATTTGATCCTATATGCTCCCCGTTGGAACCATACCTTGCTCCAATTCCTCAGTTTTATCACAGTTTTGTAGAGTATTTAAAAACAAAAGTAAGCACAAACGCTTTTGACCACGAAGCCGAGAAAATGGTCGCTATTTTATTATCACTTTAATAAAGGAATCACGCCAACGCCTCCCTACAAATATTGCCACACTAAAAAAAATTGACTTTTTTCGGTTGGAAATGCATTAAGAGTAATTAAACCAAAAGTATTTGTTCAACTACAGCAACAAAAACACAAATATAATGCCGACGAAATAACATCCATAGAGATGCAATGGCAACGGTTAACGTTACATACCTGGAGTAATTTAGACTCAACTGTAAAATTTTGGGCCGAAGTTTATCAATTTCGAAATGCCCTAGGAGAAAACCCTTTTGCTGACCTTTGCAACCTAGTTTTTAGTTTTCTTGTTTTGCCTATAAGTAATGCAGAAGTAGAGCGAATATTTAGTTCAATGAATAATAAATAAAAACTAAGCAAAGAAATCCAATGTGCGTTAAAACGTTAAACGCTATTTTATATATAAGATACGGTTTAAAACGTGAAGAAAAATGCTGCCATAATTTTACTGTAGATGACGATCTCTTAAAATTAATGAATTCAGGTGATATATACAATAGTGATTCATTTGATGATGAGGAATATACACTCGATATAAATTAATGGTGTTAACTAGTCTTTCGTTTCTTGCGATTTATTTAAATAAAGCATGTGAATTTTCACTAAAACATTTTAGCCGTTTTTTGCCAGAGTCTATGTGAAATTTCACTAAAACATTTTAGCCGTTTTTAGCCGCTTTTTTTTGCCAATCTAACCGGTCGGCCCAAAAAGTTCTGGCAACACTGCTTATGAGCAGGCATGGGCAGAGACTTAGCAGGTGCTAAAAGAGCGTAAGCAACGCTTGTACGTATACAAGCGAGAGCGTAACGATGAGAACGCGACAGCATAAAAATTAATTGGACACACATACACATTCTCACTTTTAGCTCAGGCTTGTTTGTGGTCGTGCCCACCTCTGCTTATGAGTATGATCAGAGGTGGGCACTACCACAAACAAGCGTGAGCTAAAAGTGAGAATGTGTTAGTGTGCCTAATTCATTTTGCATGTTGTCGTGTTCTCATCGCTGCGCTCTCGCTTGTATACGTAGACGCGACGCTTACGCTCTTTTAGCACCTGCTAACTCTCTGCCCATGCCTGAGTATGATACATGTAATTCAAGAAACTTCTCCAAAACAGAAAACGCTCAAGCTTCTCACGATCGCTAGTTTTGGCTTTAATCGGTTTGTGTGTAGGTCTGACTATCCATATACAACAAAAGTGGTACTTCCACCTACACCTAGTACTTTACTAACATTAAAAACAAGAATTAAAATTTCAAAAAATTTGGTATTTAAAATTGTCTCTGTTATTTGTTAGTTTTTTACTACCCTTTACCTTTATGTATAAATTTATAACTCAAAATAATCAGCATTCATTGATCAAACCCTCCTCCGGCCAAAGTTTATCGCCAGCTACGCCTCTGCCACTAATCCATGTCATCTTATTTTTTATAATTTGTAGGTACTCCAATGGGTGGAGACTTGCGACATTCTTTGCTACTGACATATATTAATGAAAAAAAGTCTATTAAGCATAAATATTTTTTCTTATCGTTGCCCAATTACAGTGTCGGTAGCTAAACGGGTTTAGCACTCTCTTATAATAACTGCATCCACTTGGCTTTATTCTCTCTCTCGTCTCTATTTGGTTAAAAGGGCGTAAAGGGGAAATTTACGAATAGAAGATCACCAATAATTTTAAGCATCTTGTGCACACAAACACCCACGAGCGAATTATCATACATACATACAGTGTTGCCACACATGGGCTTTTCATACCAAAACTGATTGGTTTATTTCATTTGGTAGGTTGGTAAGCTAGATTGGATTTTGGTAGGTTTCGCAACAAAAATAGTTATTTGCTAAAAATATGTATCTTCAAACATTTTAACAACCTTGAAAAAGACTTGTCAATAAACCCACTGACGTCCTCCATTGTCCCATTTACCAAAAGAAGGAAAGTCAACTTGACTAGACCCACCTTGGCAGGGACAGAAATTTAGTTTTCAGAAGAGACATAGTACCTAGGAATAGCTCTGGACAAAAGGCTCTCTCGAATGTTATAAACAAAGCGACAAATGCGTTTTATGCCTGTCAGAGAATTCATGGTAAGACTTGGGAAATATCACCCAAACTAACGTATTGGTCTTTCAATACGGTTGTAAAACCCGTTGTTACATATGTGGCACTGACCTGTTGACCCTTGGTGTCATTTGGAGGTTCTCAAGCCATTCCTGGATGATCCGAAGTTATCCTTCTACAAACCCTACAAGGTCAGAATCCTTGCTTTAAAGCGATAGTAACTATGATTGACGAAAGGTCACAAGTATGGTATACCGACAGATCGACGACAGACTGCGGGAGTACTGTGGCAGGCATACTTGGATTCCAAGAAAGTCTGCCAGTGGGCACATACCCAACAATATTCCAGGCGGAAGTCTTCGCAATTGAAGTCTATGTTCCCGAATGTTTTCGTAAAAGAGCAAATGTGCGTTAACCCTCTAGTAGGCCAATTTTTTATGAGTTGAAAAATTCATTTATTCATGATTTTAGCACGAGAAATGGTCGGCAAAAATCCTCCGGCTGAACCCTCCACGAGGGTGCTGACTGGTAATGGGCACTACAGAGGATTCTGTGCGATGTCAGAATGGTGCTCAGCTAAAATCAGGAATCAGTGCTATGTGCTAAACTCCTTAATAACGTAGTCATATGGAAATGGTTTCTGATCGTGGCTTGGAGGTCTGAAGGGGCTGGATCAAGGCGTCACGCGCACCGTACCGAGGATCGGCCAGGCTGGGGGCCC